TACTGATAAGACACTAATTGGGGAAAGTAAAACTAATTTGTGGGGCTTTTTTCTTCAAGCTGTACAAGAAGTTTTGGGGAAAACATGAAGGTTTAAGACTTTGCTTATAGTTGCAGAGGCTTTTACATGTAATGGTAAAGCTTCGTTGTAGCCAAGCTACAAACTCAGGGCTGAGTTTTTTACTGGTTGGTTTTCTAAGATCTTTTAAACCTCAGGAACTCAACTTTACAGTGAGCTGTAGAGAGCCAGTGTGGTATAGTGGTTTAAGTGTTGGACTATGACGCTGGAGAGCAGGGTTCAAATCCCTGCTTGGCCATGAAAACTCACTGGGTGACCTTGGGCAAGTCACACTCTCTCAGCCCAGAGGATGGCAATGGCAAACCTCCTCTGAAGTAACTAGCCAAGAAAACCCTGTGAAAGGTTTACCTTAGGATTGCCATAAGTTGGAAACAACTTGAAGGCAAACAAGACAACACATGGACATAGAGCATGGGAAGCTGCATTGTACTGTGCCAGGCCATTTATCCATTTGGGCCAGTATTTTAGACACTGGCAGAAGTTTGTGAGTTGGCAATTTTTACAGCTCTAACTGGAATTTGTGTCCTTTGACATGCAAGGCATGCACTCAACCACTGAACTACATTTTAAGATCTTAAAGCCCATAAGGACTGTGTTCCACTGGGTGTAGGGAACATAGCCCTCCATACTTCAGTAAACTCAGTAATTTAAGTGTGTGCTGTAGTCCCTTCAAATTTGACATGAGCTTGGCCCCTACTTTCATGGTAGCATGGTTTATGTTATTTTCTTATATGTGTGTTTTAGGTATGTACCACTCAAAGGGATATCCTTCCGGAATTTTTTGCTGTGTTTTGATCTTCTCAACTGCGTTTGCCATACAGCAGTCAAATATTGCCAAGATGCCTTAGGCAGTCACCTGCACGTTATTGTGGGTACACTCATACCTATTGTGGGAGAACAACCTGAAGCCCAAGAAGAGGTAAGTACTTAATAAGAAACACTTGTCAGGCATTTAATTTCTAATTTCCCAATCTAAGGGCAAGACCTCTATTGTTTTGTTTTATAAAATTAGTATTCTACCTTCCCATCTCAGCATGCCCAAGTTATTAATAATGATCCATAGTATTAAAAGAGAGTGTGGCAAGTGATTAAACATGTCTTGATTATTATTATTTTTTCCTCTGAAGACAATGCAATATAAGAAACCTATTTTGAGATTCCCCTCCGTTTCAAAAGGGGATTGCCATGCTGTTTAGGGATGCTATACGGTAAAGATAAAGGTTTTCCCTTAACATGAATGTTTAGTCGTAACTGACTGTAGGGGGCAGTGGTACCTATTTATCTACTTGCATTTGCATGCTTTCAAAGTGCTAGGTCAGCAGAAGCTGGGACTAGTGACAGGAGTTCACCCCATCATGCAGCACTTGGGCCTTAAACTGCCAACCTTCTGATAGTCAGAATTGGCGTCTTAATCACTAAGCCACAGTATCCCTTCGGCTGCTACTTAATACATTCTTGTTTACATAGAATTATCAGCATGATTCTTAACATCTTGCCATTATGCATTTATGGGTTGCATTTAATGGCTTTTCCCTTGTCTTCCAGTAGCCAAGAAAGATGTGGTGCTGAGATTTCAAAATTCAAATTACAGTCAAGGTGAAATAAGCTACTAGATAGCACTACCTTGATGTTTTATGTAAACAAGCAAGGTGGAACATTTTTCCAGACTCCCTTTCAGTTCACCATCTGTCATGGTCAGGCCAGTGGTGACTACCAACAGCATAGGTAGCAAGCAAGGATAGCTCCAAATTAATATCTTGCTTCAGTGATGGTTGGAGCTGAACTAAGGCCTCTCCTGTACTGCTGGCCCACTTTGTGCAGTAATAAAACCTATATGTATGAGTTTTTAGTTGGCCACAGATGAAACCATAATTAAGACAAATAACCTGTTAATCTTCCTTGACACTCAATATTGAACCTGCTAAACAATATTCAGTGGTGAGGATGGCCATTCAAATACAGTCGCAAAGCAAACAATGACTTTGCCATTATATGTAAGAGGCACCATTTTAACTATCCATTATATTTAATGGGATTTGAACATCCACAGATTTTGGTATCCCCAAGGGGAGGCAGAGGGGCTGGAACCAAACCCTAGCAGATACCAAGGGTCCACTGTAAATGCAGGATTTTTTGGTTCTGTTATAGGACCTTATGCAGTGAGGGTAAAATGTGCATTAGTCTGTTTATAAATCTTTTCATGTATAAAAATAGTGTTGGGGATAAGTAACACCAATAATTTTACAGATCAATTTAAATTTAAATTTACATTGCAGAGTTTTTTTCAGGTACAAATGTGAAGACTTTATTATAAAGGTTTTCATGTTTCTGTTTCTTCTTTTTAAAACAAAATGTTAGGTCTTGCGCTTACTGAAATACCTGGTAATAGATAATAAAGACAATGAAAATCTGTACCAAGCAGTGAAACACTTAGATCCATTTCCTGACCAACCTGCCTTTAAAGAACTGCGTTCCGCTCAGCAAAAAATAAAATACAGTGAAGGAGAATTTTCTCTTTTGGAGGTAATTTAATCAGTTGACTTACAAAATCATAGCAAGTAAAATGATTTAATAGAATAGAAGTACAATTGTAGACTGCACAAGTAGTCTCTTTACTGTGCCTAGAGGATTGTCATTTTTATGATACAACAGAAGTACCAGAGGCTGGATGGCCATCTGTTGGGGATGCCTTGATTGGGAGTTCCTGCATGACAGGAGATTGGACTGGATGGCCCTTGTGGTCTCTTCCAACTCTATGATTCTATGAATTCTCTGGAGCATGCAGAGGAGCAATCCACAAAGAACTGGATTATAGCGTTACACACCAACTTGAAAGCAGGAGTCACTTTCCAGCTGATTCCACTTTTCTTTCTCTCCCTGGTACTCATTCAGCCAACTTTACCTGGTTTAGAAATGTGTTAGTCCCTTCCTTGCTCCAGTGCTCCCTCTCTTCTCCTTCTCTTTTCCCCCTTTGCTAATCTTTCTCTCCTTTCACTGACATTATAGTCTTTCCCTCTACTGACTTGCCTCCCACTCCTTGCTTGGCAACAGGTCTTTCTTCTCTGTTTGAACTGTTTAAAGCAGGGGTTGGCAACCTACGGCCCCCGGGCTGGTTCCGGCCCGGGTCGCTGGACTTACCAGCCCAGGCGGACCCCTGCCGCCTCTGCGCATTTTGGTCGCCGCGCGCGCCGCGACCACCATTTTGTTCTCCAAAATGGTGGCCGCGATGCATTTGTGCATGCGCAGGAGTACTGCG